CGAAACCCTCTTGCCCCCCCCCCCCAAAAAAAAAAAAAAAAAAACAAGGAAAGCAAGTACATCATTTTTTTTCTCCCAAATCTGTAGTTAAAAAGAGATGATTAGCGGGTGATATTGAAGAATGCATCCAGAACCAGCAGTCTCTACAGTGGCTAGAGATCCTGAAGTCCATAGCCACCCCCCCCCCTGCCTCTGAATTGCGAATTACGTGTCATGGCAATTACAGAAGGGGTGGAGGGGCCCCAGTTAGCTAGGGAGTTAATTCTTAGGGAGCTGGAGGCTCTACCACCAGAGATGGGTAGGGTACTGGTAAGCATGTAAGAACCCGCAGTTTTTTAAAAGCTTAATTTTCCCAAATATTTTTTTAAGTATTTCAGCATGTGGTTGCAGCTTCTCCTCAGACCCCCACCCTGAGAGGAAAAAAGAAAGCCTGAGCCTTTTATTTTCTTGCTGTGGTTTGGCTTTTTAATTTTCACCTCTTTTTAAAATACAGTGTGGAAGAACCAAACAATGGTTGTGAAATGGATTGTGTATGTGTTTTCAGATTCTGACCAACCCCAGCCATCACTTCATTGATAGTTCATTGTATAAAGATGTCATTTTGGTAGCCTGGGACCCTGCTCCTTATTCTGCAAATCTTAACCTGGTAAGTATTTGCCTCATGCCCCTCTCCCAGTGCAGTATAGATAGTACACTTGACAGATTAATCAAGGAATCAAGTCACAGATTAAGCTTTGTCAGACAGAATGAAACTGATCGTGCTTACTAATTAAATATGTGTATGCACGCATCATTTTGATACCCAGTTAGAGTAGCATCCTCAGTGAGCATTATCCATCTAATAGCAAAATGTTTTTGTTGGAGAATTTGGGTGGGGGAGGCAGATGTAGGATATCTAACTGTTCACAAATCTCAAGTTCCACTGAATAAACTCACAACTATTTCATCATATTCCAAGTAATTGCCAAGCCAATTTAAATAAATTGGAAGTAATTGGCAAGAAAATAAAAACATACTATTATTTTAATGGAGCCTATTCTGGGCTCTATTGAATGTATTCACCTTTGCCTCCTGTCTTTGGACCTGTTTACTTTTATGCAGTAGACCTGAAACAAGTTCATTACTAGCTATCACAATACAAATAGGTTATGTTTGGGATATTCTGGTAAATCATTGCCTATCTAGACATTCTGGTAGAACATTGTCTTTTGCTGACACCATGCCTAAAAAGCCAATGTACCTGTTTATTTATGAATGAGTGCTAGGAAAGATGGGTGCTATTTAGCCAAGCAAGAGATGCTGTCTGCTCTGCAGATAAGTGTCTTAGACTTGTTCTGCCATGACCTGAGAGGACATAGATAGCCTTCTTAAGATAAATTCGGGGGTAAGTGGTGGTTCCTACAAGGGGCAACTTTCTAAGAAAGCACCCATGACAGAATGGAGTCCTCTAGGAGGAGTGTTTAGGTCACTGCTCATCTTGAGAGTGAGGCTGGATAGTTCTCTCTCCTGACTGCTAAGTGTTTAACTGGTTCTTAACCAAGGGTGCAAATAAGAATCACCTTGGAGGGACCAGCAGTTAGCGTAATGACTATGTCGCTGGACTCCCATGTAGTCGACCGTGGTTCGCGTCCCGGACCCGGTGGCTTAAACTCACGCCGGGTGCGTGTGCATGCGTGCCCAAGATCCCGAGAGGAGAATGGAAAAGGGATTGCGGAGTGGCCGGCCCCCCTTGGGGGGTGATTTCTCGCTTTCTGTCTCTCTGTCTCTCACTGTCTGGCAAGCACACGCGCCCTATAGCGAAAACCTCTCCAAAAAGAAAAAAGAGAGAATCACCTTGGAAATAGTTTTCAAAATGTGTCAGAGCCCCATTTCCAGAAATGTAGGGTGCAGTGTCAATGTGCATTTTTTTTTAGACAGTTCTCATATTCTCCCTGTAGTGAGTATCAGCGTCAGATTTTGTTTGGACTGTTCAACTTCCAGGCCGAGGTCTTGATCCAGGCCTTCTTGCCTATTATGAACACACTGAGAGCATCAAGCTGTCAGATTCTTCTCTCGGAATCCCCTGAGCTTGGGACAGATCTGGGTCCCACCCAGCAGATGCCGGCAGGGACAGTGCTAATATCCAAGGAGCATGGCCCCTTGCGATGGGGGCTGCCGTCATGTGAGCACCTGGCAGGAGGAAGGTTGGAGGAAGGCTCCCCCCTCCAGCCCCACGTTCCTCTTAGTTCCTGGCCTGTGCTGCCTGGCTGAGGGATTCAGGTTGTTAAAGATCATCAGATCCAGTCGTTCTCAAAGTGTTAAAGCCACAGACACTTTTCAGCAGTGGGTATGACTTAGGATCTTAATGTGTTCCCACAGTGTCTGAAGGAGGCCTGAGCTCTGGAGCCCAAGGAGCTAGGCCTCCCCTAATACCTTCTCCAAATCCCCTGTCATCATGGCTCCCGAGACACTTGAGAAGACATTTTAAATTTATTCACTAATTTTTTTCTACAAGAGAAAGACAGAGAGAGAGAGAAGCACCCCTGTCAGGCCTTCGTGCCATGACCCCCCTCAGTCTCAGCCAGCCTGCATCACAGAAGTGTGTTCATGCCAGCTATACACAGGGAGGTTCTGGGTTCAACAGGGAGGTCCTGGGATATGAACCCAGAACCTTCCCAATGTGGGTCCACTACCTCTATACCACACCCTGACCCCTCCTGTAGTTTTTATACAATAATTTACATACGGTAAGTGTACATTTTATGAGTATTAACAATTTTTTGAGAGAGAGATTTTTTGCTATAGGGCACATCTGCTCACCAGAGAGTTAGAGAGAGATAGAAAGTGAGAAATCACCCCCCAGGGGGGATGGTCACGCCGCAGTCCCTTCTCCATTCTCCTCTTGGGATCTTGGGCATGCACGCACACACGCCCAGTGTGAGTTTAAGTCGCCAGGTCTGGGACTCAAACCGTGGATAACTATGTGGGAGTCCAGCAACATAACCATTAGGCCATCTGCTGGTCCCAAACATTAAGTTTTATATACTCATGTATCCTTCATTACAATAAAAACTGGGGACATTTTTATCCTCCCAGGGAGTTATCTTGTTGGTCCGCCCTAGTCAGTCTTCCCAGCCTCAACCCCAGACCCAGGTGACAGTGATACGCTTTCTGTCACAAACTTACATTTGAAGTACGCCGATTGAGCCCAGGGGCCAGCCCACTTCTGGGCCTGATCCGGCCGCCATCAGTGTTCGTAGTTTCATTAGCACACAGCCCACCCGTTCAGCGCGTTTCCCCTGTGGCTCTTCCATGCTTCTACGGCAGGGTTGGGCAAGGGTGACAGAGATGACCCATGAGGCCGGAAGTGTTTGCCCTTTGCAGAAAAGGCCTGCTGACCCCGATCCAGCCCACCTCCCTCACGCGACAAAGCCACTCAATAGTCCCTGCCAGGGCTCGAAGCCTGGTCTCTCTTTGTCCTCCTTCTCCTCCCCTTCTGTGGTGGGGAATGAGGAGTGGTGTCTTCCCCGTCCTTGTCCCTGCAGCTCCCGCCTGGCCCCCAGCCCTAAAGCCACTTGCCCTGGTGTGGCCCTGTCTCTTTTCCACAGTGTAGACCTCTGTGTGTGACGGTGTTGATTTTTGTTTGTTTAAAGTGGTACAAGAAGCCAGATTACAACCTGTTCACTCCATACATTCAGCATCGTCAGAGAAACCCAAATCAGCCCTTTTACATCCTTCACCCCAAGTTTATGGGGCAGCTGTGGGACATCATCCAGGAGAACACCAAGGAGCAGATCCAGCCCAACCCGCCGTCTTCTGGCTTCATTGGTAAGTGCGTGCGTCTCTAACCACGCGCGCTCCTGCTCACCTGGCTTGTGCAGGGCCCGGCCGGGAGGCGTGTCTATGACCACGGGATGGGATTGTGCTGCAGGACGCTGGTGGGTAAGGCTCGTTCCCCTCCCCGTGTAGCTCTCCTAACCAGAGCCCACCAGCTCTCACTCAGCACTGGATTTTATGCAGCAAGGTCATGTCGCTTGTTTTTTCATCCAGGCTCTGGGCCCCAGAGTTTTGGGCATTACCCTGTTCGTTTTATCTGTGCCTCAGCTCATCGCCCTCTGACTTCTTTGATTTTACCTGAGTAGAGAAATATCAAGGAGTAACATCGACCCCCTTGGCAATATGAAAGGCTAGAACAGAGCCAAAGGATATTGCTTCTGTCTGTGAAAAAACTGATGTTTTCTACCACCGTTCCAATGAATTTACTACCCTGCACCTTCCCTGGGTTGCACAGTGGGTCCTCATGAAGAAAAGAGCTTTTTGGAGGTGATGCTGGTTTGGTTGGGTACAGGATGCACAAATACCCTGAAGTAAGCTTTGCAGAAGCTGGAGTGCTTTTCTGGTATTGTAAAAGTAGGAATTTTTATTTGTTTATGTGTTTATTTAGAGAGATTTTTGCTATAGGGCACACGCGCTTGCCAGAGAGACAGAGAGAGATGGAGTGACAGAAAGCTGGAAGTCACCCCCATGGGGGGGATGGCCATGCTGCAATCCCTTCTCCATTCTCCTCTTAGGATTTTGGACACGCACACACATGCTCAGCGTGAGTTTTAAGCCTCTGGGTCTTGGACTTGAACTGTGGTCGACTATGTGGGAGTTCAGCAGCATTACCATTACGCCATCTGCTGGTTCCCTGAATTTCTTTCTTTTGTTTTTTTTTTTTTTTTGCTATAGGGTGCATGTGCTCGCCAAAGAGAGACAGTGAGAGGGAAAGTGAGAACTCACCCCCCAGTTGGGGATGGCCATGCCATAATCCCTTCTGTAGTCTCCTGAGATATTGAGCACGCATGCACACACTCCCAGTGTGATTTTCAAACCACCAGGTCTTTGAACCACGGTTAGCCCTGTGGGAGTCCAGTGCCTTAACCACCGTGTCACCTGCTGGCCCCCCAAATATGAGATATTTTATCTAGAATTCAAGAAACAAAATGTAGAGTGTGACTGCATATTACATTCCTTAGCCACGGTCTTCCTCCCACCCTTCCGAAAACCTGGCCTTTGACACTCTGTGTTTCCGTGCCACCTCTTTGAAATCCTTAGCTCTTTATCTTTTGTGTAGTTTCACAGGATGTTTTGATTTAGAAAAGAAAATATAATCTAGTTTGTCAGCAAAGGGTAAACTGGATCGAGAAATGTCAGATAGCCTAATAGGATGTGACACAGGTTTAATAAAGTCTCTTTCATATCATCACCAGCTCACGAATTCACGTGGCTAATATTTGATTAGAGCAAAAGTTTTCAAGCACAGGAGTGAGGCCGTCAGATAGACTTATCCTCAACACATGGCTTAAACAATCCAGGGTAAATACTAATTCCCAGGAAACGTCTCGTGTGTTCTTTGAAAGAAATATGCCACGTAGAGCCAGGTCCTTCCTCAGCTGTTACTAGGAGTCTGCAATTTGAGGCTGGTGCTTGCCTTCAAAACTCCTTTTACACGCCAGGAGACGGGGACCGGCCGCTTGGCGCTTCTGCGGTGCGTAGGCTGACGTTGGCAGGTTTGAGTAGGATTCTACTCTGTGCTTGCCACCTTTTTGACCTTGGGCAAGTGAGTAATAGTCTACACCTGAATATCCTCCAATAAGCAGAGAGAACAGTAGGGCTTCCAAGAGCGTGGCAGCTGGCCGACTTGCAATCATTGTCACATTCCAGCTCTGTCCTCCCAGTGAGCAGCCCTCAGCCACATGTGGCTACTTACATCTCAGTCACTTAGAATTAAAAAAGACCAAAGCCGCATTTCTTTGTCCCACCGGCCCCATCTCAAGTTCTCAGTAGCCACAGGCTCCTGGTGCTGCCCTGAGGGTGTTGCAGACACTGTTCCTCGGCCCAGCACTGTGTGCACAGCAGCACGAAGTCATGTTCCTCAGGGAAGACTAGGAAACAGGAAGTTGGTCGGGAGCAGTCACGTGTCCTTGGGAGGGCTGTGCTCTGCGCCTGGTGTAGGAGCCTCGGAGGAAGGCGGGGTCTGGCCTCACTGAACGCATTAGCAGCCCCAGGGCCTAAAGGAGTTGATGTGAGAGCCCCTGGGCAAGGATGGGCCCCAGAGCCAGGCTGCTGAGCCCTGCCAGCACAGCGCCTGCACCTCTGACCCCCCCCCCCCTCCCTTCCTCCCCTTTGGTCTTATCCCCCTGGGGGAGA